GACTTTTTTCGAGGTACGGGTGTTTTCGTGTTCAGTCTACTGGATCCAGATGAAGATATCTAATATACACTTTACCATGTTAGTGTGGCAGTGGTGAAGAAACTGATAATTATTAACCATCGCTTCAAGAATGCGCATTTCTGTAGAATACATCACTGTATCTCATTTAAATGACTGCCCATCACTCGCGTGTGTATTTTATATCCGTACTATTTGTATGACAGGAAGTTTATAAGCCGTTTAACTCCAACCTGTGTCTTAGATGAAAATTATAAAAACAAAATTATAGACAGACAGGTGTTATGTGCTTTGAGTCAGGTTTGTGACAGGCCAGGTCATGACAATTTCACAATAAAAATCTTTTGATTGACCGAGTACTGAGATGTCAACATAATCACAAAGACGCGAACGAAATGGGAAGAAAAACGAGAAAAGAATAGTCTTTACGGCGATGTCTTTTTTCGGTGATTGTTTGATGTTCTTACCAAAATAAATATATCTTTTTTTTATCATTTAAGTTGTATTTATGTAGTTAAATATTTATACATTATTGCATTGTGCATGTGTTTCATTGTGTACGCTTTCAAACAATCAAGATATGATTACTTGTTAATGGAGACTATTTATGATTATGAAGATATTTTGATATTAAATTGTCAATTATATTTATTTACCGAGCACTTAATTTATATTGCCAATTTTTAATGCAAACAATTTGCAATTCATATTTGTCACTGTCCGGTCAAAGCACAAAAGGTAGATGATGTATTTTCGCCTTTTTATTTCTATGCTTAAAGGGAAATTTATGATATTATCGGCGTGTCCCTGTTTGATATAGCTAATAATTTCATTTTATGATAAATATTTATACAAGTCCAACGAACCATGCTTAGGGTCTTTCATGCTGTTAGATATGGATCTATGTCAAAGTCATTCAAGTTTTTCTTTCTTTTGTTAAGCTCGGTTCTCACTTTGCAAGTACGTTCCCTGTTTGGTCGTTTAAGGCATGAGGTGAAAGGGTAGGCTGAAACGCCGCTGTCCCCGTGTATTTCACACGTAGCCATGTTAGTCTCATAATGTCCAATGTAACGTGTCTATGAGACTTTATACCACGTTCCACCTGTATTGAAATACAAATTATTACAGGACACCCCTTACTTATTTTTGATACTACATGTATATTAGTGAATTCAAACCAGTTTGATACCATCATTGATTGGAAGCAGTAGAAATCCAATTTTGTAAAAACTCTTTGTTTCAAATAATGACCATTCTTATCTTATTACTGTATAGTTCTCTATTCCTCTTACATGAGAATTCTACGAGGGGCGATAAACCCCCCGGTACTATCTTGGAGATTTAGTATCAAAATGATAAACGGTCTCTAGACAAATTCTTTGAAACAAACATGTAACACGCATAATATAATTTGTAGTTTTGTCTTATTATATATAAACCTTTTAATCAATCAGTTTTCTGTGTCACGGTGGCTCAGTGAGTAAGACTTTGGCTCGCTAACCTGCGTTGGTCGGGAAAGTTTATCAGTGGTGCAGGACGAAGGGTCTGGCAAGGAACAACATATAGTCGTTTGGATTGGACGAAAAACCGAGCTCCAGTGTACATATTGACATGTACGTAGAAGATCCCCGACAGATGGAACTCGAAATAATAGTATATCGCAGTGCCGCTCCTGGGCAAATGTCCTAATAGCACAATGTTTGACGTATGCCCATCTTCATTAGTCCAGTTGGAGCAGAACAGCAGGACGTTAAACCCTTTTCATATTATTCCATTGCTATCTTCAAAGTTAACCTCAGTGGGGGTATCCCATGTGCATCCATTGGGTTGTTGATCGTTGTCATTACTTCTTCAAGCAGGTTTCTCATAAGTCATAAATTTAATTAGTTGAGATGTAACATGGGTGTTAGATAGGTATCAACTGCACTGGTACGGAATATTAACCCATGGTGTATAATATAACTGACAGTGTGGTTTTTTTTTTTTTTGGGGGGGGGGGGAGGGGGGTCTTTGATTTTTTCACTTGAAATTTTGCTATAGCTTTGTCTATTCTGGTTTTGTTCAAATGTGAATTCTCTCTATTTCATATACTATGTGTAACATGCTTTTATGGGGCGGTTTAGTCCCATAATATTGTCAATTATAGACGGCTGTACCCTACTAATCCCTTTAAGTCAGACATATTATATCAAACTGTTTAGCCATAATAAAATCTAATATCAGGTATTCTTGTATTGTAATTACATCATAAACCCCTAGAAGTACATTATCGAACAGTATATTATATTTTATTTGACAATCGGCTATAATTACAATAAGTTGTTGGCGTTCTTAAACTGATAATATCTTAATCCAGTACGATTGTATGATTGTTAAACAAGAATAGAAAATGTAACATCCTTGGCGACCTCCTATATCGTTTAACGTTATATTTGTATGGATATATTTATCGTATTTTAGAGACAAGAGAGTAAGAATGTTATAGGATTACTTTGACCACAAGATAACAGCTTCAGTATGATAAACACATTGTTTGTTTTGGTAGCAACTGTCACTGGCCAACACCCAACTTTACGACAAAATCCAATTAGCTATTCATATATTGATGAAGTACTTACATGTAATATGTATAAGAGTTTTGTTCGTTTAGAAATGAAATGGGGTTTAACGTCCTACTGTTCTGTTCCTATACTGGGCTAATGAAGACGGGCATATGAGGGAAATTTTGCCCGGGCAGCGGCACTAGGGGCTACTTCCAACTGCCAAGGGATCTTTTACGTGCACGCCAATGTATACACGGAATTTCGTTTTTTTCATCCCATCCGAACGACTAGACAGATGACCTTGTCAGGCCTTCCGTCCTGCACCACTGACAAGGAGAAACTACATCTGATTTTCCCAATGAAATTTCTCGGCCAATGCAGGGATCGAACACGCAACCTCCAGGCTAGCTAACCAGCGTCTTATCCACTTAACCACCGTGACTATCTTTGTTCGTTCAGATAGGATAATTTTTAAAAAGGGTGTGGTAATGTTCAGTGGTAGTAATAATTTCAAACGTCGGGCATATGCCATATAGTGTGCTATGAGAGAAAGTTTGCCCAAACAGTGGCGCTAAGGCCTACTCTTAATTCGAATTCCAACTGTCAAGGGTTCTTTTACGAGCAACCACGAAGGAGAATTCCATGGAACTTTCTCGCCCCCACCTCCATATTATTGTGATTACGAGCATATCCAGGCGTTTAAGTGATAGAAATATTTTTTGGACACTTGAAAACTTTTGATTTCGAGCATTTGTTGCTCCGTTTCGTGTCTTACAAACTGATAACCATATCACATTTGTCATAATCGGAGTGGATGTCGTGCACATGTTGGGTCTTGTTCTTTGTTGAACATCAAATATTATTTTTCATGTACATGTATTTAATGATTTTTGTTGTACTATGCTTTTATTTTTGAGTGCATACAATGATTCTAATTGTATGGAAATCAAATTTATTATTCTTATCTGTGGGTCCGAATTTACCGTGGGATCTGGAATTTGCCTCACTTTTTTTGTTCACATAGTGATGGTTTCAAATGCTGTTCAAATGTTTGCCTTCACACGAGAACATTTTAAATACTTCTAAAGAAATTTCAACTATAGTTTTTTTTTTAATTGAGTCTTTTAAAGACAATGTTTTTTACTTAAAAGCTACTTGAACTTGGCATTGTCTTTATCTTCTTAAAGCTATGTTTCTTGTCAAAGTTAAAATAGATCAATTGTTAATTCTTCTTTAGTTCTGTCAACCCTTTGAAAAGGTCAGTCCGGTCCGAGGCGTTAAAGTATTTATCTTGGAACCAAATACCACACCTTTCTCTTAGCAAACAAAGCATTTAATACAAAATTTACTAATCAATCTTCAGTATTAAGCTGTTCATCTATTCATCTCACCTCAGTCAATACGATGTTTTGTCGGCATCATTGTTTAAAGATGGAATCAATGGTCAAGTCCATTTAAAGTTGTCAATGTTTGTATTGTTCAAATGTATCGACGTAAATTAACAAAGAACATGCTTCTATTCATAGATTAAAATAATGTTATTCTTAATGACGTTTCGTTTTTACGATAAACATTTTTGATGAAAATCTCTCGTCAAGGATCATTGTTGATTGACTGTCAGTGTATGGAGAATCGCAATAGAATCGTTCGTTCAAAGATTAAACTACATTTAAAGTAGTGTGTATACAACGTTATTTAATATTATGTGAATTCGTAATACAATTTAAATATAAAAAGTAAATGTTGAGGGGCTAAAGTTCAAGTGGGGGCTGAGACACTATGCGCAATAATGAACTGATCTTCATTATTATTTATTAAAATCCTTTAAACATAGGTATGACGTATACTTTCACGGACACTGTCAGGCAGTCATAAACTGATTACATTGTGTAATGTGTAATATTCAGAAAGTCAGCGTGAATGCACGGCTGTACTGCAAACGAATGTTAATGGCATCTTTATATGCCTAAATGTGGAAAACGTAGAAAGCTTTAGTAGTAACACAGCCTAAACGCTTGACCCCTCTGTACTGGAAGTCAAGGGAGGTTGACTTGTCGATCCTAACACTACCCCTAGAAATTTATCGATTCATCAAGTCTCTTTTGACCATGAAGGCATTGGTGGGCTAGATTTCCTCAAGGTCGCTGAGATTTAAATAAGGTTAGGGCATGGGATTATTGACGAGATTGTGGGTTAGGGTTTGGGTAAGGGTTTGGGCTAGGCACAGTGTTTGGGTTAGCGCTGGCCCTGTTTACATCTCATGGCATTTGACCAAATCTGGAGGTGGCCTTAAGAAATAGATCTAACCTGCATCGGTACCCACGAGGACTTTTGGCCTATAGTGACCAATCCCTCCAGAACTCTTTTTGAGATCAATTTGTTGAGTAACACCTGTAAAAAAAACAATGGTATGTTGTAATTATATAAAAGGTTACTTACATTGAAAAGATTTTTGTTTTCTGGCTTTTCTCAACTCTGTTGATATTGTTCTTCGAAATGATCTGGAAAAGTTTTCGTAGGATCCATACAGGTCATAAATCGACTCATACATCGACACCGATGATCGCGATCTATCCATAATACTCATTTTGTTAGGTCAAGTGGAACCTTTAATTACACGAAAAGGGAAATAATCTATTTTTGCACCCAAAATGTTGTCCTCGCGGTCCTCACGTATAAATCTTAAACACAAAGAGATTAGTGTTCTTTCGTAAAATGTTGAGTGTTCAACAAATAGTTGCTAAACACTGAACAAGTCGTCGAACAAATGTATTTTGTGACTGTTGACTATATTCTGTAACTTGTCGTCTGCTCAGAAACGAGATGTGTCAAACGAGAAATTGCGTGGATAACATGACATTTCGTCGAATCCTCGAGTTCTTCTTCTTGAAATAAGACTTAATAAGTTATAGTAAATAAAAGGTCGACCACAAAGTGATCAGTGAAAAATAAAGTGATGTCCGAACTACAACTTCGACAGGTTTAAAAGAAAACATTAATAGCACACATGTTGGAGTTGTTTATATACGTAGGTATAATCCATATAGGTATGTCATTCACGCCGTAGTTGACATACTTACTATAGCGTATTATAATTATCACGTAGGTATATCACCACACAATATAAGTAACACTGTATCACAAAGATACTATTTTACTTACAACATTCAATGTTAGATCACGTTACATTCGCTTCTTCTTTGAATGTTGATAATAAAAAGTAACAGAAAAATATTTATACGAAAGCGGTCCTCGCAAACACAAAACAAAAGAATGTCAACAATGCAATAACTGTTTTTTAAAAAATCCACAGTGCAAACCTTTATGCTACACATGCACTAACGTGAAGATGAGTTTCCGATTATAATAACAATTTCCATAAAAAAAAATTGGTTTAATTTAAAATGAAATCGGGAAATGAAATTCGAGACTACGATTTATGAAATTGTCAATAAGGAGATAACTGATAACTTTACAATGTCTAACAAAACAACACAAATTGTATTAACTTTTACAGGTTCGCCTTATTTACTAAATAAATCCACTGTCTAGTTAAGACCAATCGACTACGTGTAATGCGTAGGGTTTAGTTTAAGTCTGTCCGGGTTGATTTATCAGCTAACCAATATCTCGGTTGACATATGGCCGATGAGCAATATCCACGTTCACACGATACCACAAATTCTTCTCAATGATAAACCGTTAATTTGTCTATGCAGACATTCGACGTTCTTCACGTGGTCCAAGTTTTGTACAATTGACAGGAATCCACTCGGTACATTGATCTATAATATGTCAACATTTATCTTTTCCAAACATCTCCGACTCGGGTAAATTTGTTCTGTTTTGTAGACAGTTCACGATTGTTAATATCTTACACTTGCACGGTCGTGCCACCTGCAAAAAATAAACAAATGAAATAAATGTACTGTGTGCGTTAGTGTAGCTAATTATTTTCACCTGAATAAAATGGATACATTCAGACAGTTTTCATATTAAACGCACACAACGGAAGAGTCCAAACTGATTACGTCATAGTTCAACTGTTTTCGATCTTTTGGCTTCCAAGATTTGATTAAGACATTCTCTAGACGACTTGCACCTGACAGAACAACATTCCGGTATATTAGTGTGGCTAACTTTTTTAGGGTTCTTAATCCGGACATTCTTAATCTAAACATTACAACCGATCGTCAGTATTTTGACTTGCTGTTACATTTGGGTCCTAAATTAATTGGCAATGGTTTTAATTGTGAATTATTCCCCGATTACTTACCATCGCGGATAAACAGTATGAAAGTTTTACATTCCCCAATATTTTACAAATGTTAAAATGAAGCAGTTTTCAGGCTTGATAAAGTATTACCCATTTTATGCTTTGTTACTATTACTGTATGTTGTTTGATCATTGGGAGGTTGGATAGCCGAATGTATCATAAGGTCATAAGGTCTGTCATTGAGTCAACTGGCGTGGGTTTTCTCCAGGCCCTCCGGTTTCCTCCCACTGTCAAATACCCCTACGCGCAAGCGAATTATTGAAATAAAATTGAACCATATGTTAGTTCCGAAATGACCTAGTTTGTGTCGAGTGAACGTTAAACTCTCTCTCTCTCTCTCTCTCTCTCGGTTTCAGCATTTACCCTTCTTATCCCGTCTGTTTAAACCAAACCAAAAGCAACGTTATTGTGACGTTCTATGTAAAACTGGTTAATTTTACGTGAGTTCCAGTCTATAAACTTTTGTAAATTCTTTGAAGTAAAGAATTTGACAAATAAACAGGAGACGTATTTATCAATAAATGACGAAATGCGATTACATAGAGAAAGAAACAACCAACATGGGAAGATAAAGTCGTGTAACACTCCATACATGTGCCAATACAAACTATTTACAATATTTTTTTTTACAAAAGAATTAAGAATCATTGTGGCAATATGCCATGTGTCATGACATGCCGATACCAAAGATGTGCTCGCTGTATTTGATGAACGAACAAGTGATATTACCAGAGGTACAAGATAGATCTAGATTATTACACCACTGTCAATATGATTAAAATTATATATCATTCTATTGTCTACCATTGCAAGGTCGGAGAGATTTTATACTAGGCATGTGGAGTTCTAGGAAAGCCCCATCCCAAACTTAGGCTGCCTATCTACAGCTAGCTCCGGCTGAGAACACATTCTGGGAAGTATGACGTAGATGGGTAGCTGCGTGCAGTATGGGAAAGCCCAAGATTAGAGTGTTCTATCACGTAATGTATGATTAAAGCTCGTTTTTATGGAACATTAGTTTAAGTGGGGCAGTTTAGGTGTCGCGAACAGCTGAGATGTAGGACGGGGTCGTAAGCAGTAGGCTGCCCCACTCGGTTGTACCCTTTATGGGCCTGCATGTAAATCTATCTCATCCGCCGATCATGCTTAATCTTCGTCATAAATATGCAATGAGATAGCACACTACTCACAGTGACATCCCTATTATCTTTTCATGTCAGGAACTAGATTATAATGGTAATGTCTCTAATTCTCTTCATCTTTAATTACTTACTAACATGCTAATAATGGCTCCTTTAATTACGTGTTGAAATGACCACACTGTTATACTATCTTCATAAAATAAATAATAATAATAATAATCATTGCTTTTAAGGTAGCTCATAACACGCGAAAAAAGTGTCAAAACGTATATTTAAAGGGGGTATTACCAAGTGAAGATGTTATGTGTAGTGTTGTCTGTTAGTGAAATAACGCAATTCAATAAATTCAGCAATGCTCCGTCAAATAACATCCTATACATTTATTCCAATGTGAAATACATACGAATATGGACAAAGTAAAACATCCATAAATATACTTTGCAAAACAATACTTCACAATAAAAATCCAATCATTTATGCTCGTATTAACTGGTTACAAAGGAAATAAAGGAAACAATGGCGACTTGTAAATCCAAGTGTTATTAACATATTTCTACTTCCTTTTAACAATTAACGTTCATGTATCAACATGTGTTTTAAAAAATTACCAGTTATTGACATGATATGCACAAATAATTTTATTTACTAGGCTTACAATAGAATCTTGTAACTTTTTAACACATTCGAAACGTGTTTTTTGACGGGTTCTTTTCATTAATCAAACGAAATGTCTCTTATTGGTCCACTTTGTTCAAATCTTTACAGATAGGTTAACTGAAATTTTGTTCAAGATGTAAAGTATATTCCTTTAAACATAGTTTTAAACATACGGATCTGTTGAAATTTAGTAGCATCCTTAGGAGTGTTGTATGAGGTCCGATTCATGTTCGCTAACCACATATCAAGTTGTTGTAGCACTTTTGTAATGAAAAGTTTAATATTTACAACATTATCTAATGCTACCGATACCTACTCGCAGCTATTGTTTGGACCTTCATTTCAGAAGTCAAAGCAAACGGATAGGATATTACATAATTCACCCGGCCGGAGCCCAGTAGTTTAAATACTGGAGTATTTGTTGACATCACATTCGTTTGAAATTCATATCAATAATATAACAAACAATTTTAAACAATACGTATCAAAATTAGGAATTTTGGGCCCAAAATCATGTTCTATAATGAACATAGTTATACTCATCTTTGTAGACTTTAAAAGAGGCTGTGCGATGTATGTTGTCATGGAAATTAAGAACGCGTAAAAAACAAAAGAAAAGCTTAGATGAACAATGCCATTAGATAGATAACTAAAGTTCAAGGGGCTTTTTTTTACCTATGTAAACTAAACAAAGTTGTGCTAAACAATCAATGCATCCGGGTACACTCATGGTAACGAGTCAGAAGGGTGCAGTAATTTTCCCGTTCCAATCACTCCGAATTAAATCTAGAATTTTTTACAATATACTGTGCTTGAAAACGACAAGAGAAGCATTGTAAAACCGTAGCTCCGATTAAAAATACAGTAATTGTTTTCCATAAACTCTTGTGTTTATTTTAGAATTTTTGACTTTGGATTTTGGATTTTGTTGTGGTTTAGGGATCGTCAGTAAAACAAACCGTGACTTTTTTAGAACCATGATGCAATCAAACACGGTGTCATAAAATACAAACATATAGGTTGATCTCTTTCTTTAAGGTCATGCATCATGAATCTTTATCTGGAATTTCACCGACGCACCTCTAGATTGGAAACAATATTCGGGAACAGTATTACCTTTTACTATGATAAAATTAAGATATTATAAATACAGAAAAGACCATGTTAGGATTGTTAATATAAATAATGTAATAATAATAACGTACCGTAACTAAAAGTTTTGCGCTGATGGAGATATAACATTTGTATTCACTAACAAACCTGTATAAAACTGCCTGTACAAGGGGCAGTCGGTTTTAACAAGTAGTTTACCACACAACACGTGGGTAGATGATGATTGACTACAACGATATTAAGTACAGACAGGTAAATAATTGTATGGTATGTAAATAGGTTGCCTACCTTGTGACTTAACAGTGGGAGTAGGTGGTGTGGAGCTTAGAAGTAAAGACCACGCCCCACTTAAAGCGCTCTCTTTAAATTAAAAAAAATGTTTATCTGCAAAATATAAAGTGTTAATGGTCTCTAGTCTTTTTATTTTTTACTATAAAGCTAGTATTAACCATAAATATTCTTGTTTCATAACAGAAATCAATTTTGGCAAATATGTTGACAATAACCATGGAATAACAAACTAGAAACTCGTTAAATCTGACCATAAACAAAATTATTTTTTTTACATGACATTTCAGAAGTAGGTGAAACATTTTTATACTTTTAGGTTAGCCATGTTCTATCAATGACCTCGGATACCAATTTAATGCAATAATAAACAAACATAATATACAAATTAGCGGAAAAAAGTGTACGTGTACCCTTTGAAACGATCTTATAGCGTTCAAAAAACCCAAAATGTATTGAATATAACGCACACAACGATGACTAACCTTGTTATTGTCAGGTCTGCAAAATAAGCGTAATAGAAACTGGGTTACAAACAAGCCTATCTCGTTTTGACAAAATATACTGAAACGCTTGGTTTATTTCTAATGTTTTCTCGTCAGATAAACCTCTGATGATATTGCAGCATGTATCAATACAAACAATGACAAGTTTTTAATTACAATGAATACATTAAGCACTACAATATGTCTTTGTGCAGTACAAAAAAGATTCACGAAAATAGCATTACGCAGGGGTGACTATCATGACCTGAGTGATTACGGGTGGTACGTCGTAAATGAATTTTACACTTATAAACTACTACATAATGCATCTGTCGCAATAATTAATATCCTTGATGTAAGTTTTAATTACATGTACTTCTATTCTACATTTTAATGTTATATAGTCGAGGTAAGAGAACTTTATTGTTTGTGAGTTTTAGGTTATACTTTCATAGTGTACAGCCTCATAAAACACTACTTTTATAGGATTCACGAATAAACACTGCCCTTGACTTTTACTTAGATCCAATTTCAAGTGATATTCTATGGGCGTTATGGACATGAATGCTTACAAATAGTTGCTTATTACAAAGGAAACGTATCTGTTGTCTAAATATTTATAATAGAAAGCTCAACATGCGGTAATTTTTAGTAACCAATTCCCGACATCAACATAACTACAGGTAAGCAATAACGGCCATAAGTATATATTAGTAAATAAAATGTTTCTTTACACAAGAAAGTTGGTCGTTCACCGCGGCCAGTTATCTAGACTACAATAGACCTTGCATATGACGATTTGCCTTGGATTTAAAACACCATCTTCTATTTCCAATATTTCACTATTTTCACATAATATACGTCCGATTCTTAAAACTTTTTATGAACGAAGTTATTTCTAATCTCACTTTATTAAGTTTATATCTGGAAATTTGACTTACCTCAATTTCAAAACAAGAAACTAACAACTACAACAATTGCTACATGGAACAGATGCCATAAAATGCTATGTGTGTATTTCAACTCTCTGTGAAGACAATAGAACAGCAGAAAGGTAAACCCACTCTCTACTTAAGTGGACCAAATGACAAGTTCTAACGAGCCACATGCCGGCTGCTTGGACCGTGTACAAAGATAACCACGTTCTCTTCGTGGCGTGGAAACAATATAACTTCATTACTCAAATAGACCCCATTCTGACAGCCCTCCTGATAATAACTGAAATTCTATATGACATGCAAGAAGTGCATTAATATAGCCATGTCTATCTTCCCTTACCCAGCATGATAAAGATACCGGAGATATATCAATACTTAATTAATAATTATATCATATTTGTTATCTTTTCATTATTCAACTAACTGGTATCTTTGAATATTAAGTCAATGTTATTATATCATTGTTATATCTTTAGACAAATTACAAGTGTGGAGACCTTCTTTTAACCTAAGATGCATCACTGTCATCGGGGGATAATAAAGAAACAAACTATTGTAGATTATATCGAGGTGAACGATCAATTTAGTTATTTCACCGTGGCAGATCGAAAGAAAGGGGCCTCACGTGTCCCAAACGCCTCCTAAAAAAATAAGCACCAATTCTCAATCTACTCATATTGCTAAAAAAAAATGCTATATAAATCATTGATAAACTTTGTTCTAACCCAAATTCAGTCCAATGTGGCGCTGAACCATTCTTATCGACCACAAGGGTCTACTGACGAACATAAAGATATACGGCATGTTACAAAGTAAAAAGGTTTTTTGGGGTTTTTTTTTCATTCGTTAATTGTTCTTCCCGGATATCACTATGATATTATCAACCAATAGCCATAGAAGCATCTATTGGAGTTAATATAACAGATAAAAAGCTATAAAGTAGTGCTTGACAATTATTGTCATGGGTGATAACTCAATGCTCCGTGGGCGCAATATGTGGTTTTCAATTAATTTTTCAAACCAAAAAGTACAGAATACAACGACATCCAGGAATATTTGTGAATATAGTGGCTTGGAAAGATGTAATTATCGAGCTGGAATATTCCTTAAATAAGCTGTGTTCTGATAATGAACAATGTCTTACTATTTATATTTCAAAGTACGATCATAAAATAATACTACTGTACCAATAAGTTTAAAGCAACTGGTCAAGTAGGCCTATAATATATATACGTTTCTCACCAAGGCATTCGTTTGATTAACGTGTTTTTTTTTAGTTTGAAATAAGGTGACAAAAGTCTGATCATTTCATTGTGTAAATATTAAGATATGAAATTATCAATAATAAAAATACAGTATATCGGATAGACTTTGTCACAAAGAAGGGTGATTATCAAGCATATTGATTTATTATGATAAATGAAGAAGGAGCGTGCCGTGTGACAATCATATAGGTGAGATATCTTAATTAAACAGTGGAGATATTATTAGTACTACATGTGACTAACAATAGAATAGCCAGATTGGTAATTGGTTATATTAATTGACCAGATAAAAAAATTTTTATACCTTTTACCTTTCAATAGCGTTTTACAGTTCATATCATGATCTTAAAATAATTGATCTTATCCTATAATAGCAACGACAAAATAACAAAGTTATTTCCTAATTGTTACTGTAAAGGGCAACTGGGTTTTCAGTCTCGTGCGGAAAGTACATGCCCAATTATCGTCAATTAAATATTGCGTTTTTGAATTAGCATAACTTTATATTAACTTCTAGATCTATCCAAGTATAATAAAGTGGGAGGCCACTGCAGTCGAGCATTATGATATTAGCCACTGGGATGTCGTGGTCGAGAAGAATCTCAGGATTTTTTCAAGCCAAGTTCGAAGAAGAATACACCGCGGTACGGTTAAAATTCCCCCACCCCCAACATTGAACTCATGTGAAAATTACCATGTTTAATCCCCAAATAACTGAAATCCTGTATCGAAGAGGTTTTAGATTTCTGTCAATTATGTTACACTCACGTCAGTATCTACAGGGGTGGGCAGCTGTTTTAAGCATACAAAATACAGTTAAACTAGTTTGAAGGAAAGTAAGGGAGATTTGTGTCGTTTCGTGTACTCTTTTTCGAATTCCAACTGTCAAGGATGTATCCGGGTAAGGCCCGGTTAGTGATAATGATAAGGCCAGCTCAATTTTTCGTCATAGGTCACGAGCTGATGTAAACAGGGCTAGAGCTAATCCCAACCCTAACCCTAAGCCTGAACCTATAAGCCCCATTGCTTACCCTAACCTACAATCTCGCCAACAATCACCTGTCCTAACCTTATTTACATCTAAGCGAATTGACAAAAAAATGAGCTGGCCTAACAAATAGATTTAGCAGGTAAGCTACCTCTTAAAGATACTTTCCCAGAAAAGTATTTATCAGGTGTTTATTTCCAATAAAAGTATGGCAATTTTGGTATATATGGAAAGTAGAGATATCCAATCTTACTAGAAAAATACTGGATTGCACGAAAAACACCAATGGGGTGCATACATGGCAAAAATGTAAGGGTTTCCCTAACCGGCAACCCGACGATTAGTGATGTCTGCTCGAGTAACGCCAAAGTTAGCACGCGAAGATTGCCTATAATCTCACAGCGTTAGTGAGCTCTTGGTGTATATGTTGATAAACTTGATGGTGCAACAGTTTCTGAGTTAAAAACCACGGGAAAAAAACTTGGGCAGTGGATAATCCGAGAATTTATTGTGCTTCGATATTTGAAATAAATAGTCAGCGATTAAAGACAACATCGTCTTGTATATGCAATGAATTCTCCTCCGGCTTCGAACCCGTTGCTAGGTACCGAGAGAGGTAAGTCACGTGACACAAACATGACCTCTTTTGATCGACTTTTTTATAGTAGGGGTATTCCCTGACAATTACACTGTTTTGAGAAGGATTTGAAGCAAAATTATGATAACTTAATTAGTTTCAATATGTTTTTAGTCCAAATATATCACCAAATCACCCAGTTTGTACACGGGAATGTATCTTTAAAAGATAAATGGAGGGATCGTTTGAGTTTCAGCAGCCGAAGCTATACTTGGTGAAACTGGAAGATAGTGTCCGGGTAATAATAGCCACCAACAGAAATTAGTACATAGGACATTCAACTCTGTCACATATCGTGTCATTTGGTATAAGAAACGGGGTGGTGAAAGGGAATTTTGATCGTATCTACTGACGAACATGAACCAAGGACAATAACCTTTGTCAACAACTGAAGAAAAATATCGACCATAAATATTTAATAGGGCAAATCGTCTTGACATACGTTATATTAAAAATATCGTTGTATTCTCTTGGTTAGCTACCACCCCCTAAAATTATTCAAACATCCTATTTCATCCAACTGGTTAAAGAGGGACAAATGGTCAATGTCCCGTAAGTTTGTGGTGGTCTAGGGGAGGTAATGTCAAAACAATAAATTCGACTCGTTCCGCCCCCATATAAAATCCCCGGATCTTAGAAATTATGTCAACTAAGATATACATTTGAATACAGTCAGTCAGATTTTGCCTTTTTTTTAGCGTCCATAAATCAAGCATTAAAAATGTTAAAACTTTAATTTGATTTTCAGGTAAAAAAAATACATAGTCAGCGGTTCGCCAGACAGTGAACGATGGTATTAGGAAAAGTGGTTCAATACATATGTGAATATGTGACCAGCCATTTGAGGATATTAAACTCTACCACATTCTTGAAGAATGTAATCAAATATATATTTGTCGATAAATACATGAATAAATCACCGAGGTTACTTGTAAATTATACAAATTATATTATGGCTTTCAATAGTCGGCTAGATAGCGGAGCTGTTACTTGTAAATAATACAAATTATATTATGGTTTTCAATAGTCGACTACATAGCGGGACTGGTACTCACATTATGCATGTCGTAGAGGTTGTATGTCCACCCTTTTCACCAATTGTATACATAATCGAATAATATTAACCCTTTATTTGTCTAACATTAACCCCAGTTGACCGCGTCCACTCAATTAAATCATTTTATAGGCTTAAAAAAGAGAAAGTGGGGACATGTATTAGCGTATTATAGAATTAAGCTTTACCATTGCAGGTGAAGCAGCTAATTGACATTATTAGATCAACTATGTGGTGGACTGGAAACCACCTAAATTTCAAGGCCATGACCCCTGTAGACTCCTTAAATAGTGGTTGATTATTGTTTTTAGATTATCGCCACGACATGGTGATAAATGTCAGATTTGAGTCCGTACCTGGAAAGGTGAAAGTAATATAAGGTAGTTTAAACTACAAATTAATGTCTGCCCTTTTGACTTCACTTTATGCATTTTAGACGAGCTTTTAAGTACACAGTAATATAACCGAATAGTCAATCTATTTGATCTTTTGAACAGGTAATTGTTTTCAATTTTGGTTCCCCATTCGCTTTGTTTGCATTTGGATATTTGAAATGGGGTAGTTTATTAGAATGGAAAATAACACTCATTTGGGGGTTAATGGGGGGTTTTGTCATGAAATAAAACCCCCTTCACAACAATCAATAGTAATTGTTTATAATATGTGTACAACAGCTGTCTATAGCAAAATGCACGTGTGTGTGCATTTCTTTCCATCCAAGTAATATAATTTATTGTAAGATCAAAAGAATCTAATTTCCGACATTCAATAATAACTGAATTGGGTATAATTTTGCTTTTAACAAGGTCAATATTAGTCCGATATAATATTTTTTGTCAATCTGATTAAAATACAGATCTATATTTCGTTTCGGTTTTTTTTATACTTTCGATGGCCCATACTACAAGTGTAGTAAAGACAAGTAAAACGAAATTTTGAACTATAAAAACGAAACGAAATAGGATCTGTGTTTTAACCAGATTGATTTTTTGTGAGATGCCGTACCAAATTGTAAATTACATGTATATCTGATGAAGTGTACCGTTTCATTTTGTTCGTTGAAATGAACAAAGTTACTTGTCGTTCCTGGGAAAAGTTTTATGATTTACAGTGGATGAACTATGATCTGAACAGTTACGTCATCCTCTCGTGAAAAGTTTTATGATTTACAAAGGTTAAAACTATTATCTGAAGAGTTACATCATTCACTTTTTATGATTTACAAAGGTTAAAACTATGATCTGAACAGTTACATTATTTATTTGGGAAATTTTTTTTATGATTTACAAAGGTTGAAACTATGATCTAAACAGTTACGTCATTTACTTGGGACGGGATTTATGATTTACGAAAGTTAAAACTATGATCTGAACTGTTACGTCATCTTCTTGAGAAGGGTTTTATGATTTACAACGGTTAAAACTATACTGAACAGTTATATTATCTTCTGGGCAAGGGTATTACGATTTACAATGTTTCAAACTGTGACCTGAACAGTTATGTCATCTTCTGGGCAAGGGTATTACGATTTACAATGTTTCAAACTGTGACCTGAACAGTTATGTCATCTTCTGGGCGATGGTTTTACGATTTACAGTGGATAAACCTATGATCCGAACAGTTATGTTCTTTAAAAGGATTTTACGATTTGAAATGGTGATCTGGAGAGTTTTGTCTTATTTTATTTTAAAAATCACCCTGGGAATATCCACAATATATATATAGCTTTGGGCGCGCGACCTTACTAAGGTAGGTCATGATGTGATACTGATGCATGCATGTATACAATGCACACACATCCAAAAGAATAGCAAAGTAAAAAAAAAAGAAAACATACCCTGCCTTGTGTACGAAATATGTCAAATACAAGGTAAACAGTATTACGACTATGTTAATGTGTGTATATAGGTATTTACACGTATATATTGCTTATATCATGTAATTATATAATAATTATACATTAGTAAATCTTATTACAACACATTTATAATCTCTAATGTAAGTCTATAAATATACGTATGTGTGATGCAACCATTGAGGTCAAGGGTTTAACATGTAACAAATATTGATGTAGATTGTAGATAATCAGTTGTACATATATGATTTAACATAACAAAACTACGAAATGGGGTTTAACGTCCCACTGTTCTTCTCTGACTGGGCTAATGAAGACGGGCATATACGCCATACAGTGTGCTATGGGTGAAATTTTGCACAGACTGTGGCGCTACGGCCTATTCTTATATCGAATTTAACTGCCGAGGGATGTTTTACGTGCACGCCAAAGTGTACACGGGACCTCGGTTTTTCATCTTATCCAAACGACTATACGTTGTCCCTTGCCAGCCCCTTTGTCCTGCACCACTGACATTTGTGAAGAGAGAAGATCAGTACGATTAAAATTTCATTGCCGCAAGCGAAATCAGTATGTATACTATATCTTCTTTGTTTTAAAATTGTCAAATATTCACCGCAAAATTGATTATTTGTGGACGTAACTTATTTTTAAGTTAGATATATATAAAACCACTTCGCAAACAAAGAAGATATAAACTTTAAGGAAATCGACACTGTCTTTTTGTCATAAAACCCAAGAATGGTCACGTCCTTGTTTCAAAATAATTTATGAAATATATATATATATTTTAAAGTCATTAGTGTTTATTCCCTTGGTATATATGAAGCTAGTGGGAGTATGAAACTCGGATCTGGTTGTTGTCTCTAAACATGTGTAGTCTACGTGCCAAATACGGGTTACCTTATTCTTACATCTGAATATAACTCAGTATTTTTTTTTTTTTTTTTTTTTCAAATCCTTTTTAAGATATCTTAAAGACTGTTTAAATACGTCTCGAGAAATCAAATACAAATGAAAGAAACATAATTATTTAAATGTTTTTATAGCAAGCGTATAAATTTTTTACCGTTAGTTCAGAAAAATAAATGGAGAACAACCTCACCTTTGATAAGTATAATAACGGTTTTGATACTTTTACCACCCGCCGCCACCGCCAAGATGTTTGGGACTTCACTGCAGCAATATAATGTTACTTCACCACTCTTGATTATTAATTTTGGAAATGGTGAACTGTTCCCAATTTAGTCTAAATCATTTTTGTTTTGATGAAAGCTTTTCAAAACAGAATTTTAATATGACCTTCCTGTCACATTCCGAGGGTAAACTAGCTGAATGTAAACAAAAGGTAATATTTTTTCTGATTTATAAAATAAATATCTAATTTTGTGGGACAAAACAAATACTGTTTAGTTTATAGCTATAGTTACTTTTAAACGCCTACATGCACAATTTTTTGTTTCAAAAACTAAAGCGAATTCGGACCCTCCTTTCCTGTTTACAAATGACCCAATCAAAACATTATCTCATTTAGGTGCACTTGTTCTCACAAGATTTGTAGAACTCTACAAAGATTCGTTGACTCCCCCACCCCCAATCCCACAAGGATAATTTCACTTAAGATAAACAAAATTCCGTTACCTTGAACCGCTGTGGGTTTAGTGATACTTACATAGAGTAATTAATGGATAATTCACAATGACAATTTGTTAGCCATTGGAATTCCTTCGGGGGTTTTAAGCATGGAGACGCCATATTAAAGGTATTGATTGCGTCAATAACGCGACTAATCACATTGTAAAATACTGCACCATGTATACATAACATGTTATTGTCTGCGATATCACCTCGGTGGAAGCGGGCGTAAAATACAACTAACTCACACACAAAAATCAATAACGCATTTTTTAATTAAGGGTATACCTATTGAACTGGGTCACCTAGAACTGTGTGGCAATATAGAAAGAGATCGGTTGCCTTCTTTAATATTTACAGTTTTATCTTATAAACTAGGCGGTCTTGTTTTGTAAACTAGACGCTCTTGTCATGTAAACTTTTTCGTACAAGCCCGTGCATTCTTCATAAAGGTTTTATTTTATGTGCTTGATAAAATAATAACAACTGTATTTACATTAAAATAGATAGTTTTACTTCAGAGATAATATGTGAACGGATTAGCTTATTTGTGCCTTTAATTTTATTTTAACTCAAACTAAAAACACTTGTATCCATTTTCAAAACACTGGATTATTCATTAAAAGACTATTGCGTTTTGGACAGAAGCTTCTGGCTCCAATGAAGTTCATCACCAGTGAAGGTTATCGTATCATTCACCGTTATCAGTATTATCTCAGGTTATTTACCCTAAATCAAATCAAATTAAAGATCAATCAGTATTACGCCAGGCGGTAATCAAATATTCAATACACTTGTCTAATCCAATCGTTATAGATAATATACTTAGCTTATTCCATCGTCCATTGCTTACAATATTTTGGTTTTATGAAATGAATCCTAAACCTTAATAATGACTGAATGTCATGCAAATATACTATTCAAAAAAAGTAGGGGATATTTGATTTTGGGGGCATAATACTAAAATATGCAAATAACTACGAAAAAAGTCACTATAGAACCTAACAGAAGAAACATTTCCAGTTACATGTGACGCCCAAACGCACCAATATCTACCGCATGGAATGCAGGTGATGCTTGGGATCATCATGGGGGTCCAACCCAAGATTTGCACGACTCTGACTTTGAATGTTACAGTCATTGTGGCATTGAATTCCAGGGTGGAAACATCAGTTTAATTGTTTTAGTGACCAGAAAACAAATTTTGATATGCGTCGGCTTACCCAAAATGGAAGGTTACGTGCCCTTGGCATGCTACAGATCGGCACAACACAGGCGGTTGTGGCGCGGACGATGAATGTTTCTCAGTCTGTCATAAGCAGGCTATGGTCCAGATACCGTGATACACAATCTGTACAGGACAGACCACGCTCAGGTCGACCAAGGTCGACAACTCAAGCCCAGGATCGATTTATCCGTACCTTGGCCTTGAGAAATCGTGTCATCACAGCAAATCAGATCAGCGCTCGTCTTCAAACAGACACTGGTGTGAGAGTGAGTGGCCAGACAATTCGGAATCGACTGCATAGGGGTCACCTTCGCGCCCGACGTCCTCGCGTGATCCCTTGTTTGAGAGATCATCACATTCAGGCAAGACGTCGTTGGTGTAGGGATCGTCAACACTGGGATAATCGACGCTGGAGCAATGTGATGTTTTCAGATGAGTCAAGGTTCACTGTTGATTTTTTGGACAGACGTAGGAGGGTGTGGCGTCGTCGAAACGAGCGCTTCCAAGACGTTAACGTCATCAGACATGATCGATTTGGGGGTGGTTCTGTTATGGTGTGGGGAGGCATCACTGTTGCTGGAAGAACGGCTTTACATGTTGTTGCAGGGCGTGTTACAGGCCAGTACTACCGGGACAACATCTTGGCAGTCCATGTTGTGCCGTTCGCACGACGTCATGGCCGCCGTTTCATCTTCCAGGATGACAACGCAAGATGTCACAGGGCCAGGATCGTTACAGGTTACCTCCAACAACAGAACATCACCACATTACCTTGGCCAGCACTGAGTCCCGACCTCTCCCCCATCGAGTTGTCTGGGACATGCTTGGACAGAGGTTATGTCAACGTCAACAACGTCCTGCCAATGTCCAAGAACTTGCTGCTGCGTTGCAACAGGAATGGGACAATCTGGACCAAAATGACCTTAGACGTCTCATTAGGAGTATGCCACGTCGGATCAATGCTTGTTTGGCAAACAGAGGAGCATTTACCCGTTACTGACTTGGTTGTGATGCTGTGGTAACTTTGCTGTTTGACCCCGGGTATCATTTTACCCTTATAATGGTCAGTCTGTGCCTTACTTAGTCTAACGATCATTTGGAATAAATCGATGAATGTGAACTTCATTTCATTTTGTCATTTGTTTCTTCGTCAGTTTCATTAGGTGACTTTAATAACACTTAAAAATCAAATATCCCCTACTTTTTTTGAATAGTATATATTATTCTGTCAGATCGTATTATGATTCTTAGAGTGTGTCTGACATTCAGTGTTGGTCTAACGTTCATTTCGAATAGACATTCAATGTTGGTCTGACGTTCATTTAGTCCTTTAGACAGTTCATTGTTGGTATGACGTTCATTTCGGCCTATAGACATTTCAGTGTTGGTATAACGTTCGTTTCGTTCTATAGACATTCAGTGTTGTTCTGACGTTCATGTCGTCCTATAGACATCCACTATATTTAGTGTTGCTAATTTCAAAATTTCAATCTATATATATAGAACAAATGGAATGTCAATAAATTATTACAGTCATTATGCAATACGACCTGCAATGTTTATTATCACTGAGCAACTTCTAATAATAGACAGACTTTTCGCAATCAAAATAATTATTGTCTCTGTATTAAAAAAATAGATAACCAATTAATGCACGAATGAAGTTATTTACCAGATAATATATCCTCGGATATTCAGTTAACACTTTTATGATATTACGCATGGTTAATTTAATGCATCCATTATAATAATATAGGCTATAAACTTACCTTATGTCTTTATAAAAGACCGGGCCTTCTACGGTAGTAAGTCATTCTACGCATCACTTTGCAAATGCATTAAAGTAATTTCTAAGTGACATTGCATGCACAGATCCATAATATTAACTATCAAAAAAACGTTGTTTAAACACACGCCTCTTCAAATTCCCCTAACACCGTGTTTGAATTGAAGTGTATGTCTGAAGAGGAATGTTTGTCGAACTGTCCTTGCAAGTCTTTCTATACTTAGCAGTTATATTAGATGTTCGATAATTTCTTCAACATAAATACAAGCTATATTGCTTAGGTTTTACACTCAGTCATCAAATATAAACCTGTATTGGTAAGTTACCGACCGATCTATCCTTTTAATCATAGTGCTGTGGTTGTTGCTCTAGTAATCTTTTTGTTATGACGGAAACTGAAACGTACTATATTTCTGCAGTTTGCTATGAGGAGAATCTTGCCTATCTGAAGGATTATACACCATTCCTTGCCAGACCCTCCGTCCTGTACCACTATAGACGGTGCATAATTCCAGAGAGGGACAAATGGGGCTTGACGTCCACTCGACACTCAATTCGAGACAAAGCTTTTGATACATTTTTATTTTAACCTGACATGGGTTTTTTGAGGTAAAGACCCATAATGCTTCAACTGAGGTCAAATTAAAGTACTGAATTGGGTTGCTCTGGTGTATTATTTTGATTTGATGATGGTTCAATAGATAAAGTGAATGTCGACTTGCTTACTTATTTTGGCGTATCTCAACATTCTCTGATAACGACTAAAGAAGCCCATATTCAAGACGTCGCTCAGTAATAAAGAGTAATTGAAATCAAAAGAAATTGCGTTTAACGTCCTACTTTTCAGCTTTGAGGGACAATTTGCCCGGACAACGGCGCTACGGCCTAATCTTATTTCGAATTTCAACTGCCAAGGGATCTGACACACCAGTGTGTACAAGGGGCCTGGTTTTTCGTCTAATCCGAAACATTGACTTACGTTATACAGTGTGCTTTGAGGGACATTTTGACCGGACAGTGCGCTACGGCTTACTCTTATTTCGAATTTCAACTGTCAGGGGATCTGACACACCAATGTGTACACGGGCTTCGTTTTTCGTGCAACCCGAAACATTGTCTTTGTCTGGTCCTCGTCCTGCACCACTTTCATGGGGAAATAGAGTCGAAAACCCGAGCAACTTTCTCGGTCAACATCGACTAGCGTCTTATATACTGAGTCACCGCGGCCCCAAACATAGTTGTATTCCATAAAATTGTGTTTTGTGAATCTCAACGCTGGCTTTATCTATTTATGAGGAAAAACATTCAAAGAAGACAGAGTGACATCCCATAAAACCAATCAACATATAAAATTGACAATTTTATTTTTGACCCAAATCAACGACGTCTACTCTAGAAAGGTGGGTTGTTGTTTTTATTTTCTCATTATAGAAACACATGTCATAAAATAATTGAATGCAATTTTCACACAACAATAATATGAAAGATAAGTATCCATACCCCTGGGGTGTTCTGCGCTTAAAACTAGACCACAACCTGCGTTTTATATGCGTGTGCCATATGGCATTAGCATGAAAATGTAATCGCCTGTGTTGTTAATTGCGATCAATTCAACTATACTTACTCTAAATCAAGCGAATAAACCTTGACAATCTAAGCTCCGATAAGATTACCGCATAGCTCGTTCATTACATTAATTACATTCAGTTTATAGTATATCAACAAAAAAAGGTTCTCAAAACAAATCAACACTCTGACTACATTTTAATTACCGTGACTATACATACAATCACTGCTATATCCCAATTTTGAATTCATTGAAATATAATTTAAACCTATTTACTTACATTATACATAATGCTAACATTTCAGAAAGAAAGGCAACACTTTTTTTGTTGATTTTTTTGAGATTTTACTACGGCCATGGTTCATTTTTTCGGGCGATGCCGCCGTATTTTTCGGGCAAAAATAATACAGCTCTTAGGAAAATCGGTCCGTACGCTTATGGATAATACATAATTAGTCTTGTGGATTTATTAATGCACGGACGGAGTTACAATGCCGCCGTCAGGGCAGACCAATATACTCACCGCTACAACCGCAAGCCCGATTAAAGTAAAGACTTTTTATTGTAATGCGTATGTTATGCTAAAAGAGATTTAACCAACAACATGTAGAGAGGACTGTTAACAGGTTATTATTACATGTGTTGGTTTTAGTTAAGTCAGTATGTAAATACATGTACTAAATTATATGAATACAGGTTATGTGGGGCAGGTGACAGCACATAAGTTAAAGGGAATTATTTACTTATATTACTTACGTGTAATAGTCGGTCATATGTAACTCACGTAACACAATGGGGTGGCTTTTCTTCTGTACAGTCCACACATAACAATGTTGAAGGCGGTTCAAATTTCTCATCGGTGTTAGCTAGATCGCAAATTTGGTCATGAATCAAATAATAAGTGTCGTTGACTTGGTTTGCACAGCCACAGGTAACTAATGTCTATTCACTATACAGCCAGGTAAACTCCATCAATCGCGTGAATCTGTAACCCAACTACCGATTTTGACACTGACAACGTCCAGACGTCTACACACATATCGATAGCTTATATAATATTTATGTATAGATCTAAACCCGTATCGATAGATAACATTTTTTTTTCTTAAAGCACCAGCCCACATTAGTCAGTCAGTTATCTCAAATCAACACGTGCAGTCGAAAGGTTGATTGTTTAATTAAGGATTAATGAATAAAGACATGGTTGTACTTTTAGCCCTTTACTTTTATTTTCTCACGCTTTACAAGTTGTCCCTGTTCCCTTATGACCTGTTAACGCTTAAAGTGGGATTTTTACCTGTATAATAAAGTTAATTCTGGTATGAATGTGGGTATGAATAAGTGACTATTATAATACAGAAGTTATATTGATAAACATATTTCATGGTTGAATTATTATAATATGTGTGTGGTTATGAATATGATATTTAGAACTGTGTGTTTAATTCAAATGACCGCTGAATGACATGTGACATAAGAGTATATTAGGTTAGTTATAGCTGTTAATAGTTCATTCGTACTCTCATCACAAATACCTTATACAGTTTGACTGGGAATTTAACTCTCCTGTGTTAATGGCATTTGACTTTTGCCCTGTGGTTAATTATCCCCTTTCCAATAGTTTGAGCTTCTGTGTTGTAAGCACAAATTATCGCTCTAATTAGTTATCTGACAGGGGACGTAAATGAGGCAGAGCATGTTTCTTGAAGACTTAATTACAATTATCAATGATGGAAAGTTCGCATAAATAACTTGACAGTGACCTGACTCTGCTAGTGGCCATCGCACCGAGGTTACCTCCCACCAAGTAACTCCAGTCAGTGTCATCCAAACTACTTCTTCATAGACATTAGTGGCAAGCTTTCTCTTTTCAGAACACCGTAAATATATATGCATTATGCAAGAGCTAAATCTGCCTATTGCAGGTCTTTCTTCTTTAGGCCTTATATGTTATCTAAATTAGTGCTGAATTAACCATAAGGCAAATAAGGCACGTGCCTTAGGGCCAGCCAAAAATCCAGGCCAGAAAATAATAAAGTAAAACTTTTTTGATAATTATCAGGTGGTGACAAAAATGCTTGCCTTTATTTTTATGTAAATAAATTGCATCCTTCTTCATCTACGCGTTTGTCGTAATCTAGCTAGGCAGTGAATGAGAATATGTAGGCTACTTATAGTAAATACAGTACTGTCAATGTTCTAAATTTGTTTGTAATAAATTTTCTGTTGCTAAATTTAACTTAATTCCTTTTGTCAATGAGCTATACATATCTGTATTTTCAGGCCACCTATCAAAATGTGCCTTAGGGCCAGCAGAGCCTTAATCCGACACTGATCTAAATTATTAATTAGACATTGATTAACTTATCCAGACCATAATCAACTCTTGATGCCATCATTGCCTGTGATATTTAGTGGATTTGAATAAGTTTTGTGACGGATGATTTAACGTAAAAATTGGCATTGGAGACTTTGTTTATCATCGTACCGAGGATAGTAATGACGATCGAGGCTAGCCTAAAATTGAATCGCTAACATCTCGGTTCATAGTAAAGCTACTTGGCTGACATTTTCAGCATATTCTGTTTTCATTATCTATCTTATTACTATTATAGCGAGAACTGTCTGCTCTATCTAATCTTACTTACAGATCCTTTAAGCAGATAAACTTTAGTTCATCATGAGATCGCAACAAATACATTGTTTCTTTCGTAAACGACGTCGAGAACATTTTCAACCCTGTAATCATATATACATCCCAAAGCATTTAAACTATTGTAAAGGACAAAACTCCTTTCGGAGACAATAGATTATTTACAAAGAATGTTAAAAATATTTATGACTCAACTCCCACTCGTGCAACAATCGTGCCAACGTGCCAAATTGGTATGGCAATTTTATCACGACAGCTTACTACGCGATAATTCCTTACACGCATCTAACTATATACGAAATTTAAAAGAACAGATCATATATTTCTTTGTGTTTCAAGACGCAATGTGTTTCACGAGGGTGCCGACTTCTTATTTACAATACATCTGAATTATTATTACAGGGTTCAGTTTTCACAAACAATGGGCTCTGTAGAGTTCCGTAAAATATATCATAAAAACGGGACTGTGAAAATGTGAATTATGTTATTCCTGAATAAGAAAGGTGTTATATTTCACATTTCATTTCTTCGGGTAGTGTGGATGGAAAAGAATTAGTCTTTAAGAGGTATTATCAAATCTAACGAGAAAACATTGAATTTTAAAATATATCATATTCAAAATAAACTTCAATTTATACAGCAAGGCATATTGTAAGCTAAAGCATTCGCTTAAAGCCACCCTATGACACTTGCTCGATTTTCGTTCCCGCGTGTCTTCGGTAACGAGCGTGGGGAGTGTGTGAAGGGTGTGGGTGTGCTTGTCATTTCGTATAAGAGAGAATTTAGAAATTTTCACAAATTCGGCACGCATCAGTTTTTGTTCCATGTGCGTGAACACCGTGCGAACTCGACGCGAACACTGCCGACGGTCGTACCAATGCGTGTCAGTGCGTATCATGGGAATCCACTGTCCGTAACTTATGCGTGTACAATACGCGAACTGGGCGAAAACACAGCTACCACAGAAATGGCACGCCTTGCGTTAGCCCACGTGAAAGCGGGGCATAAGGGAGATAAATCCCTTTAACATAGCTGAAAAAAATGAAATGAAATAAAATGAAATGGGGGGGGGGGGGGGTTTAGCGTCTTACTATTCTGCTTCGACTGGAATAATGAAGACGGGTATACACCGTACAGGGTGCTATGAGGGAAATTTTTCATAATATTAGTTTCACATCGTTTGCTGTATCTGTGGACCCACCATTCTAACGGCAGATGGTCTCTTAATTAAATTGGTAGTCCTTCGGATGAGACGAAAAACCGAGGTCCCGTGTATACATTGGAATGCACGTAAAAGATCCCTTGGCAGTTGGAATTCAAAATAAGAGTAGGCGATAGTGCCGCTGCCCGGGTAAAATTTCCTTCATCGCACACTGTATGGCGTATGCCCGTCTTCATTAGCCCAGCATAGGAGCAGAACAGTAGGACGTTAAACCCCATTTCATTTCATTTCATTTCTTAATTAAATTGGGATTTTATTCCTCTTTTTTTTTCTTTTTTTTTTTAACAAATCAAATAGGCCACGTCAAGCAATTTTAAAACGTCTCTGCCATGAATTGACATATATATCTCAAATTTTCCTCACAACCTGCTGCCAAGATAAAAAATAAATACCAATCTGCGGCAATTTGAGTGTGTGATACTTTTTTACTTTAATCTAAAACAGTAGACCCCAGCCGACCCGCTGTGAATATTTAGATAGAATAGGCAGGTCAGCAAAACATAATTATATTTGTTCCTTAAGTTTACAATTTTCACCATCGCTCTGGTTATCTGGGACAGAAAGGGTTACACAAAGGACTAAAACCCCAGAAAGATAGATTCGAATCTTTTGGGGGGCATCTCACGATAAAGTTTGAGTTTTTCCAAGAGATACGAAGGCAATTAGTGGAATACAATGTGAGTAACATTGCCCTGGCTAAATATCAACCGTTGAACTTGTAACCGAGGGCAGAATGATTCAATAATTCTTGCAACACCCGAAGCTAGCCAAGTTTTAATGTACACTTACCTCCCTTATAATATTTAGAGGGCGCTGCATACGGGCAAAGAAGTGACCATTTTATTTTTCGACATTGTTGCTAACGTGCAGTAACCAGTTTGTTGTGGTTAAATTATCTGATAATCTGACAAAGGTGATTCTGATTTATTTGATGTTTTATTTAATACTATAGAGTGTAGTTTGATAGTGGCGTAGAATTTTTTTATTATTAAATCTATATATTCGTGTTCGACTCGTAAAGATTGTTTGTTTACAAAAAAAAAAAAGGAAAAAAAAGGTTGGCAGTCTGAGTAGACTGAAGACAGTAGTAGACTAGGCTAGAAATGTACGGATACAACTGGAAAAGTGCCATCTATGATTCGATTGTAATTTATAACAACATAAACATATTGGCTAATTTCGTCGTATCTGTCATAACTGTTGTCACAAGAAACATCGATTACATGTCATTTCGGTCCCGCGTCATTTCGGACTTATGCCATTTCGGACTCCCAAAAATATGTCCTCGACATTTCGGACTCAGGTAGGTGACGTTTCAGACTTGGGTAGATGACGTTTCGGACTCGGGTGTAGAACATAGAATTATAGAACACTGAAGTCAATTTACTTTATAAACTATTTTATTTATTAACATAGCATAAAATGATAACAGCGATTTATAGCAACGGGCATATTTATTTGATGAAATAATATAGCCTCAGTCGGGTATTCATTTATTGTATAAAACATACATTTAAATTCATACATTAACATAGCATACAGCGATTTATAGAGAGAGAGAGAGAGAGAAATGGGGTTTAACGTCCACTGGACACAAACTAGGTCATTTCGGGACGAAACGTCGCCAGTCCGAGTCCGAAAAGTCGCCAAGTAAGTCCGAAAGGTTGTCAAACTGAGTCAGAAACGACGTTTGTGTTGAGTCCGAACTGACGCAGGACCGAAATGACGTTCTACCGAAACATCATCATTCTAGCCAAAATCTAATATCTCTAGTATTGATAACATTTTTAGTTGCTTTATTTTGGAGTAAATAAATCTGTTAACAAATTGTTTACATTGTAACTATTGTAAGCCTTATTTTCCTTACCAGATGCCGTCAATCAAGCTACAGAGTTCGGATGGAGAAATATTTGAAGTTGATGTGGAGATCGCTAAACAGTCAGTCACCATCAAAACTATGTTAGAAGGTAAATGATGCAATGGTTTCAATGGTATTTAGTAATTGGATCTGGAAATACAAAGGATGCAATTTTATGGATTGAATTACGGGTCTTACAAAAGATTGTAAGCTTAAGCTTGAACCCTTTCAAACTGACGAAATTCAGATTTCGACAGGAATTTATTAGTAAACTAAGTCTTACATCTGCAGACCAATCAACTACTAACTGTTCAGTTTTGTAATGTAAGCATGATTTCTGCCCATAGATGAAAAAAATGACAACAAGGCTGAGTAAGTTAGATGTGATAAAAGAAAAGATACTAGTTATAATTGATACTAGTCGTTTCATCCCAACCTCTATTTTCAGATTACATGCCATTTTGGTCCCGGAATCGGGCAGGTGACATTTCTGACTCGGATAGGTGGCGTTTCATGACTGTCATGATTTTCTTGATTAACTTATTTAGGTGTCTTACATTATTGTACATATTTATAGATCTTGGAATGGACGAAGACGAAGAAGAACCTGTACCTTTACCAAATGTTAATGCTGCCATATTAAAAAAAGTTATACAGTGGTGTACATACCATAAAGATGATCCTCCACCACCCGAAGATGATGAAAATAAAGAAAAACGAACAGATGACATTTGTTCTTGGGATGCAGAATTTCTTAAAGTTGATCAAGGAACACTTTTTGAACTTATATTAGTAAGTCTGGTATAAAACTTTTGCACCAAAGAAGAATGATTATGATATTTGTGTATTAGAAAATCGGACAAAAGTCAACCTGATATTTGGAAGGTTTAGTAATTTGTTAAATTATAGATTGCCTGAATGATAAAAGATTCATAAACATGGGAAAAATTTTAATTGGTGAAATGCTCTCAGCTTTTAAAAAAATTAAAACATTGCTGGAAAACCAGTATTATGTGGATCGTGCTTTCGTTCTGATTGAACATCATCAGCCCTTTAAAACAAACTCACTTTAGCTCAGTGAGTAAGGCACTGGCAAACTAACTAGGATGTCTGGGGTTCAATTCTGGTGTTGACCAAGAAAGTTCCCTGAGATTTACCAGTGTGGTTTCCTCTTGTCAGTTGTGGAGTGGAGGGCCTGACAAGGACAGCTTCTAATCACCCGGTTGGCACTAAAAAAACAAGGTCCTGCGTACACATAAAGGAACCCTTGACAGTTGGAATTTGAAAAAAGAGTAGGCTGTAGCGTTACTGTCCAGACAAAATTTTTCTCATAGCACACTGTATGACAGGTGCCTGTTTTCATTAGACCAGTCGGTGCATAGAAGTATGACGTTAAACCCCATTTCATTCAAAGCAATTTCTCTGTTAATCATTTCAGAATGCTGTGTTTCTGTCATCTAACCTATTAATTTTCATATGTATTTCAAGCGATCAATTCTTGATTTCTGACATACATCTAAATATTAATTATTATTTTCAGGCTGCTAATTATCTGGATATTAAAGGTTTATTAGATGTTACATGTAAAACAGTAGCTAATATGATCAAAGGAAAATCACCTGAAGAGATTCGTAAAACTTTTAATATCAAAAATGATTTTACTCCAGCAGAAGAAGAACAGGTATGGTATATAAGAAAGTTATTTTCACTAATAAAACTATCAAACAGTTGCGGTTTTTAAAATAATTTTTAATTTTAAGTTCAGCCGACTTGGGTAGAGTCTCTTGGTCATTGGTAGTGACCTCTGGGTCATTGGTAGTGACCTCTGGGTCATTGGTAGTGACCTCTGGGTCCATATTCTGAACTTCCAGTGTTACTTAGCCATGTAAACATTAACTGCCATGACATGTTCATATACTTTTGCACAAATTTGCTGTAATGTATGGTGTTTTATTTTAAGCTGTTGTGTCTGTGGGGCTGACATAGAAACTGTTGTTGTAATGGAACAAAATAACCAACATGTACACGTTTTAATCCGCGTCATAGAACCCTTGGAATTCAGTGATGAGTAGGCAGAAATGCTGCTGTCAAGGCAAAATTCTCCTCCCTAATAGAAATATTGTATTTGAAGGTAGAAAATAAATACTGTAGTCTTAGTCCCAAAATAACAGTATTGTGTTGATGCCTTAAACTAGGTTCCTATACTGTCCTGAATAACATATTAACAAATTCATTCAAACAATTGGAAACATTAAGAATTTTAAAGTATTTTATTTGTCTGCTTTCAGGTTCGAAAAGAGAATGAATGGTGTGAAGAGAAATGATCTTATTTCTTCCATATAAACTTGTATTATATTAATGAGAGAACTGTGTATCTTAATGATCAAGATGTTTTCCAATGTGAATGATTATCCAGTATCAAAATCACAGATTGATCAGCAGACACATAACTCTTTGTATTTATTATTCATTGTGACAATTATTGACAGTGTGACTGTTTCCTCCCTGGCTTGATGTTTTAGTGAATCAATGATCTCTCCATTACTAACTACTTTTAAAAAAACATTCAAACTTTTAAAATTTTCCAATCCAAATATGACAAATGTATTATTTTTCTTGTGCAAGTTTGTGAGACTCATTGAATGAGGAATTAAACAAGATTAACATTTTAAACTATCAGATCAGTAAGAGCAGAGCTATTGAAAATAATAAAAGTATATTTTTCCTCTTTTGTGAAGATAGATTCTATATCTATGCTGAAACTGTACAGTTTTTTAGTAATCAAATTGAAAGTCAGATCTTTATATTAATGGCATTCTCAACTCGCACAGTAGTTGTTTACGTTGATGTATTTAATTTTTAGTCATTTTATATTTGTAAATTACTTCAAATTATACAGAATTTGTTAAAATGGTTCAACAAATAAAAAGAAATGTTTTAGGGTTTTTTTTAATCAGTTATTCGTGTTCTTTAGTTATTAAATGGAAACAAATTTTTAATATATGTGGTCTCTCACGCCTAAACCCGGCATAAGTCGCACTAATTGATTTTGCGCTATGGCACGTTAAACCTATTATTTGTTGAAAATGCATTGAGATGTCAATTTTTTTTTTTTTGTCTAATTAGCAAGATTAAACACTAATTTACCGAATAAATCATCTGAAATGTTGGAAATGTATTCTTAAAAGCTCTTAAATTATGTTTTTGTAAAGGGTACGCCTTTAAAACAAAGGAAAATTGACTTATAGCAATGCAAAATTCGCTTGAATTCACCGACATTTACCACGCTGTTGGTATATCCTAACCCCCTTATATGGGTGTAAACAGTAAGCTACGTCATTCTCCTTGTCTATTTCGAGTTGGGATTCCCAGATAGCATCCTTTTTGACCAATAAAAGATGGTTTTAGTCACCACATTCAATATAAACAAACACAGCTTGTTGCTAGACAACGGGCCAAAAAGACCGCCGCTGATTGGCCGAAAGGCCGGTGCGGTGTATTGTGGGAAGATGGCGGCGCCCATGAAAAACCAATGTGATCGGATTTTTCGTCCTTTTTCTACTTCACGTAAATACCTGGTCAAACTAATTAATAAGTTGGATTTAAGACACTTCAGAACGAGAGACCGGTGCGGTGTATTGTCTGAAGATGGCGGCGCCCATGAAAAACCAATTGTTGTCGGATATTTCGTCTTTTTCTACAAAATACGTCACGCTTTGTTTACTTCCGGATAACTGTTTAGCGCGAAATTCGTTCTCGTTTAGCAGACGCAATCCGAGAAGATTTTTTAACGAAATTTTGGATGAGCGATGTTGACAATTTCCACACCATTCTATACAGAAAAAAAGGTAAACAATTTTATATTAATAAATTGTATATTAATATTAATCCTCCCGAATCACCACGAGTGCTATTTATAGAAGGTGCGCATGGTAGAAGTCGGTCAGTGGGTCACAAATGTCAAAATCATTCACTTGGCTATCCTTGTTTGTAGGCTAGCCAACACAATTTAAACAATTGTTTAAATATCGATAAAAACCCACTAACATCATCCAACCTTCGATTCAGGGTGATTACTACTATACTACCTATATAGGCTACTAGTACTAGTACTAGCAGGTGCCCGTGGGTAAAGAAAATAAAAAAAAATAGTTGGTTAGTGGGTCACAACTGTCAAATTCATTCCCGATTTAGTTATTCTAGGCCTAGCCATGCGATCTTTTATTTTTTACAAAAATTCATTATGCATTTGTATTGGTCACAATAAATTTGTTACCTGTGTGTTGGCTTTCCTTTATTAAAATACTGAGTAGGCCTATGTACAGCTACTGTCTGATACATTGACATAATCACAATAATAGGCCTATGTTAACTTGGCTATGTACTGCAGGACCTAGCAGTAGCAGTCCAGTCGCAATATGCATGGTACAACAATATCATTTCATATTATTAAAATATATATAGTACTATACTATTTATATTATATCATTCTGTTTCTGCAATCTGAAATGAATGGGTTTTTTTTTTATTAGATACACCCCTACATTTAGTGAAAGTATTACGTAAATAGTTATAATAAGCTGTACACCTCATTTAAAATGAAATACAATGAAGCAAGATTTAGATTACTGAATTTCATGAATAATCATTGATATTTGTTTTTACTGATATTTTAACTATACTATTCAAAAAAAGTAGGGGATATTTGATTTTGGGGGCATAATACTAAAATATGCAAATGACTACGAAAAAAGTCACTATAGAACCTAACAGAAGAAACATTTCCAGTTACATGTGACGCCCAAACGCACCAATAGCTACCGCATGGAATGCAGGTGATGCTTGGGATCATCATGGGGGTCCAACCCAAGATTTGCACGACTCTGACTTTGAATGTTACAGTCATTGTGGCATTGAATTCCAGGGTGGAAACATCAGTTTAATTGTTTTAGTGACCAGAAAACAAATTTTGATATGCGTCGGCTTACCCAAAATGAAAGGTTACGTGCCCTTGGCATGCTACAGATCGGCACAACACAGGCGGTTGTGGCGCGGACGATGAATGTTTCTCAGTCTGTCATAAGCAGGCTATGGTCCAGATACCGTGATACACAATCTGTACAGGACAGACCACGCTCAGGTCGACCAAGGGCGACAACTCGAGCCCAGGATCGATTTATCCGTACCTTGGCCTTGAGAAATCGTGTCATCACAGCAAATCAGATCAGCGCTCGTCTTCAAACTGACACTGGTGTGAGAGTGAGTGGCCAGACGATTCGGAATCGACTGCATAGGGGTCACCTTCGCGCCCGACGTCCTCGCGTGATCCCTTGTTTGAGAGATCATCACATTCAGGCAAGACGTCGTTGGTGTAGGGATCGTCAACACTGGGATAATCGACGCTGGAGCAATGTGATGTTTTCAGATGAGTCAAGGTTCACTGTTGATTTTTTGGACAGACGTAGGAGGGTGTGGCGTCGTCGAAACGAGCGCTTCCAAGACGTTAACGTCATCAGACATGATCGATTTGGGGGTGGTTCTGTTATGGTGTGGGGAGGCATCACTGTTGCTGGAAGAACGGCTTTACATGTTGTTGCAGGGCGTGTTACAGGCCAGTACTACCGGGACAACATCTTGGCAGTCCATGTTGTGCCGTTCGCACGACGTCATGGTCGCCGTTTCATCTTCCAGGATGACAACGCAAGATGTCACAGGGCCAGGATCGTTACAGGTTACCTCCAACAACAGAACATCACCACATTACCTTGGCCAGCACTGAGTCCCGACCCCTCCCCCATCGAGCATGTCTGGGACATGCTTGGACAGAGGTTACGTCAACGTCAACAACGTCCTGCCAATGTCCAAGAACTTGCTGCTGCGTTGCAACAGGAATGGGACAATCTGGACCAAAATGACCTAAGACGTCTCATTAGGAGTATGCCACGTCGGATCAATGCTTGTTTGGCAAACAGAGGAGGATTTACCCGTTACTGACTTGGTTGTGATGCTGTGGTAACTTTGCTGTTTGACCCCGGGTATCATTTTACCCTTATAATGGTCAGTCTGTGCCTTACTTAGTCTAACGATCATTTGGAATAAATCGATGAATGTGAACTTCATTTCATTTTGTCATTTGTTTCTTCGTCAGTTTCATTAGGTGACTTTAATAACACTTAAAAATCAAATATCCCCTACTTTTTTTGAATAGTATAGTTTATAGTAATAATGTAAATATGACAATTAATTTCTTTTTCAGATGTGTTCAGTTTGGGCCTAAATTTCAAATACAATAACTATAACATGTATGATTGGCCTTATTAATAATAAAACTACCTTTATGTGATGGTAGGGTAAGTTTAAGAATTATATTTTTCTGCAGCTATCCAAAATAATTTTTTTTTAAAAAAAATATAAACAATATCATTTAATATTATTAAAATATCTTGTACTATTATTATATCCTATAATGAAGTGAAAGCATCACAATAATTCATTATGCAGTTGTATCGGCCACAGTATAAATTGGTTACCCGTATTTTGTCTTTCTTTTAAAATACTCAGTTGGCCTACTGGTACATTGACAATTAATTTCTTTTTCAGATGTGTTCAGTTTGGGCCTAAATTTCAAATACGATAACTATAACATGTATGCGATTGACCTTATTAATAATCAAACTACCTTTATGTGATTGTATGGTAAGTTCAAGAATTATATTTTTCCTTCCTTTTCTGCTGCTATTGAAAATAAATTATATTTTTCTGCAGCTATCCAAAATAATTTTTTTTTAAAAAAAATATAAACAATATCATTTAATATTATTAAAATATCTTGTACTATTATTATATCCTATAATGAAGTGAAAGCATCACAATAATTCATTATGCAGTTGTATCGGCCACAATATAAATTGGTTACCCGTATTTTGTCTTTCTTTTAAAATACTCAATTGGCCTACTGGTACATTGACAATTAATTTCTTTTTCAGATGTGTTCAGTTTGGGCCTAAATTTCAAATACGATAACTATAACATGTATGCGATTGACCTTATTAATAATCAAACTACCTTTATGTGATTGTATGGTAAGTTCAAGAATTATATTTTTCCTTCCTTTTCTGCTGCTATTGAAAATAAATGTTGTTTTTTTAAAAATATAAACAATATTATTAAAATATCCTGTATTAATATTATATATTCTTCTTTCTGCGGTCTGAAATAAATGGGGTTTTTTTTTGTATTAAATACAACCCTACATATGATGTAGTGAAAGCATTACAAAAATTCATTATGCAGTTGGCCACAATAAATTTGTTACCTGTATTTTGGCTTTCTTTTAAAGCAAGAATTTCATATTTTCTAAGAAAGTAAAAACATAATTATTACTATTTCTTTTGCTCAATAGGTTGTCAACGCCCATAGATAGTTAACGATGCCTAGAATTTGTGGGACTGATATTCATGCAGCAAATGCCCTGAATGACTTGCGCCATTCGAACATTGTTAACAATGTTCATGAAAATGCATTGTATGAACTTGTCAGTGAATATTTCGCAGATTCTGTTGATGACATGAATGGTGAGGATTTTGATATTGATCATGAGACTGGTTATGATGAGCCTGATGAAATCATTAGTGTCTTGGACAGTGCAGAGGACCCGTCTTTGGCTGACGATTTTGATGTACCAGTGGTCCTTGGTGCAGTTGACAGGCATTATATGGACAATGTCCATGAAGATGATGATATTCAATCTGTTGATGAGGATAATGAAGGTGATGTTATCCGAGAAAATGATGCGCAGACTATCATGGGAATGGTAGGAGAGTTGATTTGCGACACAGATAAAGAATGTGAACTTCGTAAGATTCAAGATTACCAGTGTTCATGTGCTGCATTTAAGAAAAATGGAAAATGTCTGAAGCAGCTCAGCGTGGAACTCATTTATGAAATGCGTTTGAATA